CGGGAGGGGCGGGCACAGGGCGGGGGCGGGCCCGCGAGCCCCGCGACTGGGCGCCGCGCGGGGGCGGGGCCTCGGGAGGCGGGAGAGGCGGGCGCCGAGAGGGGCGGGGCCTCGGGTGGGGGGAGGGGCGCGGAGTCGCCGTAGGGGGAGAGTGGGGTTCTGCTGCCCGGTGGGGCGGGGCCGCAGGGGGAGCGCGGAGTCCGAGAGCTCCCTGACCCCGCCCCAGAGGAGCGACGTGCGGCCTGGAGAGAGGCTGCGGCCCCCGAGGGGACTTTACCCCGGAGACCACTGACGTGGGCTGTGGGTCGCCGGGCTCCCCCCCGCAGGGCCCGGTCCCGCTGGGGGTGGGAACTCCCCCACTGGTCGAGGAGACCTGAGGGGGGGAGCAGTCCCCAGAACTGTCCGGTCCCTGCCCCCCTCCCATCACAAGAAAGGGAAGAATGAAAACAATTGTGCCGTAAGGAGGACAGGATGATGGGCAAAGATACTCTCCTGTAGTTGTAAACTGTAAACTGACTTAAATTCAGAATGGAAGGAGCGCCCGGGGCGGGGCCGGCGCTCAGCCGTTGAAGCATCCGACTTAGGCTCAGGTCATGATCTCGGTCCGGGAGTTCAAGCCCCGCTTTGGGCTCTGTGCTGACAGCGTAGAGTGTCTGGAGTCCGCTTCAGATTCTGTGTCTCCCTCTCTCTGCCCCTCCCCCCCCCCCCAGAATAAACATTAAAAACTTTTTTTTTACTGTTTAAAAATGGGAACATCCCACCTTTTGCACAGAAATTTTTCCTGACTAGGCTTCTCCTTACCAGGCCAGGCCCACCTGAAGGAGGCCCAGTGCCTGGGCAGGCACAACCAGATGACCTCAGGAGCACGAGGTCTGAAGGGCTTGTTCCTGTCGTGTTAGGCATTCAGACAAATCTGGAGCCACAGACCTCCCGGACTGGTCCACACTGCCCAGATGCTCAGATGCTGAGAGCCAATCCCTCCGCCCCCCACCCCTCCCCGTGCTCCCCTCCACCGTGGGGACAGGAAGGAACGCTGGGTTACCTAATCCAAGGAGCCTTCCAGCAATTATTTCATGAGAAAGTCAAGTGCCAAAAGGCGTGCGTGTTGCATGTGTGTGTGAGTGTGAGTGTGTGTGAGTGTGTGTTCCAAGAAGCCGTCGGCACAGAGTGAGCCAAACCACTCCCTGCATTCTTTCTCCGGGTAGAACCTTTGATAGAGGCTGGGAGAGACACTGGCCCCTGCAGGTCTGACCATGGGAGCCTGGAGATCAGAGACCCCGTCTCAGCCAGAAAAGCCCATTCTATTCTTCTGCAGGACCCACGGAAGAGCCATGTGGGAAGGCCTGGGAGGCGTTAGGCAGTCTGACCCCTGGCCCCACAGGCACAGTACACCTGGGCATGACCTCCCCTGGCAGCATCGTGGGGGCGGGCACAGGGAGGGGTCCAGCCTTCCGGGCCATCCTCCAGCAGGCAGGCTGGCCAGGTGTCTGGGGCTGAAACCCTACAGGAGGAGGAGACAGTAGACGGCAGAGAACCATCCCGCTCCCACCTCGGGTGTGTTATCTGCTCTGTCCCCATCCACCAGAACATTCGGAGGAACCACCGCAGGCGGGACAGGGCTCCGTCTGCCGCCGAAGTGGGGCCTCTGTCGAGGGCAGAGATGGAAGGCACTGTGGGTTCTGGGAAGGCAGACAGTACAAGAATCAGGCCTTCCCCCTTGGCTCCTCTCCCTCAGCAGTCAGACCACAGAGTGGGTAACTGGAGATGAGCCTAGCAGAGGAAAGATACACCAGGAGCGCAAAGAAGAGGGGCGCAGGGGCAGGGAGGGGGGAAGGGGTGATTCTGGGGCGGAGGGGTGGGACCAAAGCGGGCTCTAAGACAGCCTGGGGGGGAGGGGCGCCGCTGGGCTCCAGCCCCGCCCCCCAGCTCAGCCCCCACCCTGTACCAGGCCGAGAGGGAGGCAAGCGCTGCCTAATGAATGAGGCTGAACTCCCTCCACATTCACGGGCCCTGATGTCAGCGGAGCTGGTGAGGCTGACCTCCCACCAGGTCCCGGGGGCTCCGGTGCTTCCGGCTCCCCCTCACCTGGCTCTGAGCCCTGCACTGCGGGCTGGGCCCTTGATCTGCTCTTTTCCTAGGCCAGAAGCAGGCCCGTCCCAGCCCCGCTGCCTGTCACTTCTCAAAATCACATCCTTGCCGGGCCAAAACCATGAAGCCAGGGAAGTCGGTCACGGAGCTGAGATGGGGAAACTGAAGCCCCGAGAGGAAGAAGGAGTGGCCCCGGGCCACACAGCAAGTCAATGCAAAGACAGGACCAGAACCAGGGCCCTGTCCCCGGATCTGATACTTGTCCCAGCGTGCTGGTCCCAACACAACTCCCTGGGCAACAGCCACATCCAGCCAAGGGTGGGCAGCTCCCCACTACTCCTGGGGCTGGCTGGAGGCTCCAACCCCCTGGCATTGCTCCCCAGAGGTCTCCAGCACCCCCACCCATGGCTCTCTGGAAGTAGACCCCCAGGACCACATCCTCCTCCTCTCTCTCTTAACTCCCTCTCCCGGCCTCACCCTCCCAGTGACCTTCCTGACTGACTGTTCTGTCCCTCATCCCTTAACCATGGTGGGCCCTGGGGCCCTGAGCAAAGCCCCCATGCCCCTACACGCCCCCTACCCACACCTCCCTGGGTAGACTCACTCACCCCTACAACAGTGCTGATGACTCCCACTTCTCTGCCTCCAGCCCAGCCCTGCTCTATACCCACCGGCCTCCAGCCTGCTTCCCCCCTCTCTGACCCCTCAGTTCCTGAGATCGCAGGTCAAGTCAGCCTTACTGGGTGGGGGAAGGACGTAGGAAGTGGAATGGACAGCCGTCACACTCCTCTGCCCACTGGCTGGTGCCGCCCCTCCACCCCTGCACCCCAGGTTCACGTGCATGGGCATCGCGTGCACATGTACTCAGAGAGCAGGGTCTCTCTGTCTCCACCCATCTCCACTGGGATTAACAACTGGCCTTGGAAAGTGCTCGGGAAACCCTGGGTGACGGAACGCCGGGGCAAAGAGGGCTTGCTGGCGAGCCAGCAGGGCCGGGAGGGATGATGCTAGGTGGACGGACAATGGGCAAAGGGAGGGAAGAGGGGCAAGGGTGGCCCCCTTGCTGGCTGGGTGCCTGGGGGGTAGGATGGGTCACAGAGAGGGTGTGTGGGAGGGAATGGCGAGTACTGGGACTCACAGGTGTGGCCCACGGCCCACGTGCTGGGTCACATCAGCCTTTGCACTAGGGATCCCTCCAAGCCCCTCTGCCCGGAATGGCTCAGGTTAGAGGGTCACAGGCCAGGCCAGACCTGATCGGCCCTGCACACCCTGCCTGCAGCCCTCAGCTCACAGGGCAGCTAACCGGCCTGGCCATCCAGCCTTGTGACCAGGGAGTGCGTGAAAGTGGGTCCACAGCTGCAGGCTCCCAATGGGAACCAGCTAACAAGAACCCACTCCAGGCCTGGGGCCCCTGGCAAACATCTCATCCCAAATCCTGAAGGCAGCCTCCGGCCTGGAAACCACTGCCTTATAAGAGACCCACATGGGTGGCAACACGGGGCTTCTGTTTCCCTCGTCTTGCCTGGTTGTTGGACCCCGGAGCCGAACGGGGAGGTGGGACCCTGGTAGATGCTGTGCAGGAACAGAAGTCCCAGGTGGGCAGGCCTTGGAGTCTTGTCTCCGGCAAGGACCCCGGAGGGGGTGCATGGGGCTCTGCCTGCTGGAAGCTGCAGCGGTGGGGGCTGATCCTAGAGCCCGGTGGCCCCTGGGAGGCTGGGAAGGGACTCCTGTCCCCGGGTCACTCCGACCAAACCTCAAACTTTATCCCTCCTTCCTAGGGGACGCTCTGCCAGCCACACAGAAGTGTGCGATGCCCATCCTAACCCCCGTACATCTGAGGGCGGGTCTGTGCACGCACCAAGCTCGCACGTACGGGTTGGGTGTGTCTGTGGAGAGGAGAGGTGTGGGCACGGCGGAGTCTGTTGTATCTGCGCAAGTGCCTGCAGGGTACCGTGTCTGCAGGGTACCGCATTTGCTCGTGGGTGGTGAGCATACGTTTATGCACACACGTGTGTGTGCCTACAGAACACGTGCCGACGTTGACACTGGGCTGTGTCCTCGGCCGCTAATGCACACGTGCATATCCTTGCGTGTCCGTCCTGTGTCTACACAAGCTTACCTAATCAGATGTGTGTGGTTGTGTGAGCTCTATCATACGTGTCCCATGCCCCCGAAAGTCGGTCTCTAGAAGGTGCAGATCCCGGGTGTCGGGGGCCACTCTGAAGACCCCAGCGCACGAAATGCCAGAGGTGCCCTGGTTTGGGGAGGCAGCCACACTGAGCAGTGCTTCCCGCCTCCGGGACCGTGCTGGGCCTCTGGGTCCCCTCCCACGGGCCTCTGCTGGGGCACGGGGCCCACAGCACAAAGCACATCCGCCCCGGCATGGAGGGGCTTGCGGTCCTGCCCACGGAGGCAGGGGCTGTGTGGGGCATGCAGTGGAGACAGCTGTCTCCCCCCTCCCCCCCAACCCAGAGAAGGTAGTCGGGCTCACATTTTCTATCTCCAGGAGT